GTTACAAAGATAAGGTTAAACTCATTTACATGTTTATCTATCTAAACCATATGACCTTAACCGAATATACACTTGTATCACGTCATTATCTTCTCTTGTCATTATCTTCTCCTTAACATTTTCCATTCCCTAATGTAAGAACTCTATGCTCTTGTGACCAAGTCATAGACAATACCTTGAACTGTTTTTCGATCGGATCATATCCGAAATAGCTTCTTGACTTAATCTCTGTTCTCACTTCTGGTAAGGTTACGGTATCTCCCGTGCTGAGATTATAAACCACAGTCACTGACTCTGTCTTTTTCAGATATTGACGACAGATCAGTCCATTAATAGGGCGACAAATTTGATAGGGAACATCTGTTGGGAAATAGGCTACATGATCAACAACAAGATGAGATGAGTTCTTGTCTGGATTTTGAATCTGAGGTGAGCAGGAGGAGAAGAATAACTTTCCATCTTCTTCAAAAGTGAACAAGAACCGTCGAAGAGTCATGAACTGGTCGGCGAAATCCGGACAGCGAATTATGGATGCCCATGATTTCGACACGCAACGAAACCTAGCTATGGTCTTTGTCGGGAATCTAGAGAATATATCGATGAGGAGATCAGATGGGATCGGATCCGAGACGTGTTTCTTAAGATTTCTCATGGCGGATGATTACAGAGTAACAAAACCCTAGAGAGAGTTGCTTATAGAAATGTGACCTAATAATGCTCTTTTTTTTAACTTTACTTGTATGCAACGAAATTATCCCAAATATGGGCTTTTTTATTAGGCCCAATACTTAATCAGCCATTTTTACATGATTTTATTAGTGTAATTAGCCTGTGTCGTCATGGACCAAGGTCTTGGCATTGGATTTGAACCCTGACCTTGGCATTTCGAGTTTCGGGACTTTCTTGCTAGACGAGGAGAAGAAAGTCGCCTTGTGTTGTGAGAGGTTGATCTTCATTGACGGAATCGAGGGCATGGACAAGTGTGTTGGGGAGGATAATAAAGTCACACAAGTGTATTTGAGAGTAGATACAACTTATTTAGAGGGGCCATATATTATCAGTTATTATCTGTATTCAACAAGTAAGCTCCTACATGTTGTACTAGTCTCCTTTGTGTGTGTTTTCCTTAATTATATTGGTCGTGTCATCTATATCATCTATAACTACAAATAGGAATGGAAGTTGAATACAGTCATAATTAGTTGAAAGACAAATCTTTAAAACAAGAGTTAAAAGCTTTAAAACAAAAAAATTATAAGAGCCAGTAGAAACTAAATAAGAATCTCATGCATCACTAGAGCTGGAGTAAGAGTTGAAATCCAAAGTATAAAATCACTACATAGCCGTCACATCCTCTATGTAGTCTGAAAAGGTGTGAATATCAAGAAACTTAGACACTTCAAATCTTAAATCCTTGAATATAGATTTTCTTGAACGTGTTCTTCTCGGGATTGTAGTAGAAAACATAGAAAGGGTCTGAGAGATAGTATGTGGAAACAATAATATCACCAATACTGATCATTCCAACAAAGTAAAATACATTGTTCTCCCACGTACGAAGTAGGCAATGCACAAACATTTTGAGACCATATACCTTCTCCAACATCTTCTAGAACCCACAACACAAGTTCTTTTTCCAAATCGTTATACTAAAGTACACCTAGTTTACCTTTGTAGTTGATCAAAGTCCAGTCAGAACTCGGTAACATTTTTAAATCTATGTTAACAACGCTGAACTCCTCTAATCTAACGTCAAAGCAAACTATCACATCATCAGATCCTTTGAAGTTACCTTGGTAATACAAAACACCATTTATGCATATCATATCACAACTAGGATAATGGGGTTTGCATTTGATCATTCTCCATAACAATTTTTTTTCCAATATCCAATATCAGAATTTGATGCTCATCAGATGCATTGTTTATTTCATGATGACCTAAACACCCTTACTCTGACGCTGACTACATGATGACTCTTAGCGTCAGGGTCTAAGGTTTTTTTTTTTAATATCGAAAAGATTATCATTAATGATATATCAATATCTTTCAAAATTTGTAAATTAGTTTGTTAAACTTAGATCTTTGTAAGACATGGTTTCTCACTTCTAACAACACTATTACCGATTTAAAACATGTTTTCGATCACCATGTTTTCAAAATTTTAAAATACTAGTTGATGGTTTATATTTTATAGCGACCATGTATAAACTTCTCGCAACTCAATCTATGAATCCAAAGATTTGCTCACTCCTGAGTCCTGACGGCGATTTGGACGTTTGGTGCTAATTAAATTGGAATTGGAACGATCCATTGGATTTGCATTATATTGTTAAAGCAAATTCAATGTTGTGCATCATATATTTTCACAAATTTAACTTCAACCTGTCAAAAACTAATCACCCATATTTTTTTTTTTGTCACCAATCACCCATATTTAAACGTAAATTATCCATAAAAATACTATTATACTAGAGATTATAAATATCATATCATCGTACAAGAATCATCAAAGATAGTGATTTAAGAAAAAAAGATTGGAATCATAACCTTACAAATTCAGAACTACACAGATGACTCTACAAGAGAAAGCTTAAAAGCAAGAGTTGATCTAATTGTGATGAGAAACTAGAGCAATAATTAGGCCTACTATAAAGTTGAAATTAAAAAAAAATCTCAAGAACAACACTATCATATGACTTGAAATTCAAATTAGTATACAATCTCAAGTTAGGAAGCCTTAGATACTTGCATATATAAGCTTCGACATTCTCTAGATAATCCATAAAGGTGTTAACATAATAATGCTCAAACTCAAACCCTTGGACATAGACTTTTACCAATGCGTCTCTCTCGAGATTGTAGTAGAAAACATAGAAAAGACCGGATTGATGGTAGATTGGCGAAAACACAATTTCATCTCTACGAGTCATTCCATTAATGAACAACATGACCTCGTTGTTCCCCAAAGGAGGCAATACGTAGATATGCTTGGACCATTTATGTTCCCCAGCATCTTCTAGAACCCACAACTCAAGATTTCTCCCCATCCAATTTGTAAACTGAAGCGCGCCTAATTGATCCATGTAGTTAATTAGGGTCCACGAGGGGTGTAGTTCCAAGTCTTCATCCATGTTAACAAAGCTGAACTTTTCACACCTAAAGTTAAAGCAAACTATCATAGAAGACTGTTTGAAATCAGCTTGGTAATACAATATACCGTTTATGCATATCATACTATTAGTAGGATCATGGGGTTCGCATTTGATCATTCTCCATAAAAGTTTTCCAGTCTCCAATGTCAGAATAAGGTACTCACCGGACATGTTGTGTCTTCTATGATGTGTCCATGACAACACTTTGAACTGTTTGTTGATCGGATCATATCCTAAGTAGCTTTTCGTCTTCATATCCACTTTGGGTAAGGTTATGGACTCTCCCGTTACGGGATTATAAATAACATTAACATTAACCGAATTTTTTTTCCCACTGATCTTGAAGATATACCAAGACCAATCCGCAGTTAGATGGAAAATCTCCTAGAGAATAACTATGATAACTGGTGGCTACAAGAGACGAGTTCTCATCTGGATTTTGAGGTTGAGGTAAAGAATAGATGAATAACTTGCCATTTTTGTGGAAGCTGAACAAGAATCGTGGACGAGTCAAAGACCTAGACAGGAACAACTCAGTGCAATCTTGACGTCGAAGAATAAATGCCCATGAGTTCGACACGCAACGAAACCTAGCTACTGAATTCGCATTTCAAGACTTGGACAGGATTCAAAGAATGCGCGTAAAACGCATAGAGAAAACGTATATTCAGGAAGAGAAACATCATTAGAATCATCTCTACACTTTGTTGTTGCTGCTGCTATTAATGGAGGTGTTTTTGCTTATGATATACTAAATCATATCCATCTCCTCCACCAATTGATCATCGACCGCCTCAGTCTCGGATTTAGTTGGTGTTTGTGCAAGAAGAGAATCAGCATCAATGTCGTAAGTCTGCACAATAACAAACAACAGCCAAGATTACTTCAAAAACCAAAGAAGAAAGACAAAGCAAATAGATATGCAACTCACGTGCAACACAAGTTTCGCGAACAAATCCACATTTAGAAGAAATTAAAGATGAAGGAAAACAAACAAAGAGAGAATAATCTTTAAACTTAGCGACTTTACTCTTAGGTTTTCCTTTAAGAGTTCTCAATTACGCTTCAAGCTGTGAGATATAACAGAAACATCACTATGTAAAGTGGGAAAAACTTATGATCTTTTACTGTCCAGAGAGACAAGCTAGCAAAAGTGGTGTTAGTTACCTTAGCACGGCTTTGAATTCCCATAGTGTTATTTTTGCCATCACCAAAAACATCACACCTAATAGCTAGAGCGGTTTTAGTAGCTAATGACCGCATCATCTTTTTCTTGAGCTTTGGTGCTGCTTGACTAACTCGGTAAATCAAACCATGCTTGTGTGTGTCATGCGTTTTCTTGAGTAGTGGTGGAAAGAGATTTTGGATATCGTAAGCAGGTAGCTTGACGAGGTTCATTAAACTGCCTCCTCGATAAATTAGACGAGCACCAACTAGCTCACCAACTAAAGCAGTTAGATTTGGAGCAACATTGTTCATTCTGCTTTTCAAGTTATCGTAAAGCTGAGCTCTATTCTCAGCAAGCAAAATAACCTGATCACATAGTTTGCGGATACGTATTAATTCGAGGTCACTGACTTCTATTCCTTTAGATATCAAAGCCGCTTCCTTCAATTTTGCCTCAAATTTATTCGCTAATATCTACATTCCAACCAAAAAATCATTAGATAAGTAATATATATATGATCATTCAGTCTCTTTGCACACTTGACAATATCAAATGTTACCTCAGAGAAGTCTAGTTTTGCAGCATTAATCCGGTTTCCCATTAACGGATTTGGCATATAGGATATTGTCATGTATGATCTCATCAAGCTCGGGAAAATGACATCCATACCATTCTCTAACCCTCGTCACATACGTATACAGTTCTTTGTCACATTCGTCGAGCAAACTAATAGTTTGGATTATCATGGTATCCACCTAACCAAAAAAAACCAAACCATTAGGACAAATTCTTATAACGAGTGCCTGTACAAGAGACTACAAAATAATCCTTGACGGTGAACAATGTTTGAAACTTGAGTTTCCAAAATAAAGTATAAGAGATGATGAATCGTTCAAGTGCAAAGAATTGAATCAGAGACTTGGGTTTTAGCATCACGACAACAATGACTTTAATAGAAATTAAACAGACTCGACAACAATGAAACTTGTGTTTTTCAAACACTAACTTAGTAAATAAGTCAAGGCTAATACAACTAAACTTAACACGTATAATCTCAAGGACCAACAAACAAGAGTCCATGACTTAGTCAGAAATCTTGGCGTACAAGTATTGTTGACCATAATTTCGATACGCAGCTAAACCTAGCTATAGATTGACTAGGATTGGGTCTGAGTATTTCCTTACCGAGTTCGATGATTTTGTGAGTGATAGATCCTCCGAGAACTGCTGCTCCAGACTTTTCATGGTGGATGTTTCAAACCCTAGAAATCGCTTTTACTTCAGAGCTTTTTTTTTTGTTCTTCTTGTCTTTGCTTCAGAGAGCTTACACGAAACAAAATCGACTTTGGTTGTTATTTTTTCTTTATTTCCAACTGACTTTAGAATTAAGCTAAATTCCTTTTGTGTGTATTATTAACCCTAAAACGGGAACTACAATTAGTGAATAATTATTGGGCCCTAACAAAGCCTAGTTTACTTTAACTCAACGAGCCGGTTACTTTGGTCACACTCCATTGCTATGACAAAACAGAACCAGATAACGTAATTGTATCCAATAAACAATCTTCAACATCTGAAGAAGAAACAGATTAACTACTGTGAGATCTGATTTATTGATATGTTCATCAATAACTTGTCTAAACAGATTACTTTGTTCTGACTTTGGAGATTGGAAATATGTCTTGGAGAAAGATCAATTGTTTGGAAATTGATTCATGTGATGATCAAAGCCCAAAAACAGACAAGGCTACAATGGAAAAATCTTTATGAAGACAAATAACCAAATTAAATTATTAAAGACAAAAAAAAAAATCGTGAATTTAGTCTGCTCAAGACATGTATTCGAATGTTGCAAAAACAAATTGGAAATCTTGATGCATATTGGTAGTTTGGAGGAGATTTAAAACTAGTTAATTATGCTTTGAAGTTATGATACTAAAAAATCTCAAAGAGGGACATGACTATCAAAAGAGCTGGAATCCAAAGTAGAAAATCACAAGCTATGAAATCCTAAAAACGCTTTACATACACTTTCCATCCTCTATGTAGTCTGAAAATGTGTGAATTCTCTGACCATAAGACTCTTCAAATCCTTCAATATTGACTCTCTTGAACGTGTTCTTCTCTGGATTGTAGTAATAAACATAGAAACGGTCTGAGAGACGGTACGGCGACATGACAATTTCACCTATACTAGTCATTCCAACAAATTGCAACCCATTTATCTCGTCCCACAAAGGAGGCAATACACAGATATGTCGAGACCATATACCTTCTCCAGCATCTTCTAGAACCCACAACACAAGTTCTTTTCGCATCCAGGACTTATACTGAAGTACACCTAGTTTAATACTTTTGTAGTCGATCAAAGTCCAATCAGAATTTACTCCCGTGAAGTCTACATCCATGTTAATAAAGTTGAACTTCTCTGACTTAACGTCAAAGCAAACTATCTTACGAGATGTGCTGAATTCAGCTCGGTAATACAAAACACCATTTAGGCATATCATATCACGACTAGGATAATGGGGTTTGCATTTGATCACTTTCCATGACATTTTTTTTCCAGTCTCCAATGTCAGAATTCGATGCTCATCACATGTATTGAATACTCCAATATCGTTTGACGAGGTCATAGACAACACTTTGAATTGTTTTTCGATCGGATCATACCCTAAATAGCTTAAATTATAAATATTCTTTGTTTCCATTATGGGTAAGGTTATGGACTCTCCTGTTACGGGGTTACAAATCACAGGCAACATATCGTTCCTTTGCCAATCCTGTAAACACACCAATCCACGGAGAGAGGAACAGGTTACAGACGAAAAATCTCTTAGAGAAAATCTGTGATAACGGGTGACTACAAGAGGCATATTCTCATCTGGATTTTGACGCATAGGTGAAGAGTAAAAGATAAACTTGCCATTAGCTTGGAAAGTGAACAAGAGCAATGGACGAGTCGAAGACCTAGTCTGAAACAAGTCACTAAAATCTGAACGTCTAAGAATAGATGCCCAAAATTTCGACACGCAACGAAACCTAGCTATTGACTGCGCTGGGACTCTCGAGAATATATCAACAAGGAGATCAGATGGGATCGGATCCGAGACGTGCTTCTTAAGATTTCTCATGGCGGATTACAGAGTGTTAAACCCTAGATAGAGTGCCTCTAGTGTTTATGCTCTGTTTTCAACCTAACTTATACGCAACGTAAGTATTCCAAAGATGGGCTCCTTTTAGGCCCAATGATGCAGTGTAAGCGTCTTTAAGGTTTTTCTTTTTTCTTACAAGAAAGATTATCATGCGTATATATGAATGTATCCAATTAATTCAAATATTGTAACTATTATTATCCTCTGAACTGAAAAACTTGCAGATTGTTCAATGCGGATAATAAAAATATACAGCGAAATTGGATAGGTTTTTTTTTTTTCATGTGCTACAAAATGATAGTATATATTATCATTCACAACAAACGAATATCTCAAAAGTAATAAATTTTGAG